CCGCGCCATAGCTCAAGCGGTTAGTCGCTGGCTTCCCACCGCGGAGGCCCGGGTTCAATCCCGGATCTGGTCAAGTGGGATTTGTGGTGGACAAAGTGGCGCTGGGGCGAGTTTTCTTCGAGTACTTCGGTTTCCCTTGCCAATCTTCATTCCACCAAATTCTCCATCATCATAATCACCCGGGGCAGGCTACAATAGGCCGTTCAGTGGCCGCCGTGCCGAGTTGACCCAGTTGGACTCCACACCCAAATAAGCGAATTAAAAAAGAAAACTAGCTATCTAAACATGTAACTTGCTGTATAAATATGAGGCTATGTAGATAATTTGTACGCTGGTTTGTACAAGACCATCATCGATTATGTGACAGTTATTCAGGCTGACGAGAAACGCCTGGTTATAAGAATCACGATGGCTCACCATTATCAGATAATCCTTCCGTGAACAATATACTGACAAGCTACACCCCTAATATTTACATCTAGTGATTAGTATCTAAAAATAAAGAAGGAAAAAAGGGAAAATTTGTCCCTGCGCTTAATTAATAAAGCACCAAGCCGTAAAGATACAGATGGAGTGGAGGTACAGCTCCACTATTCTTAACCTTGGCACTAGACGGTGGTGAGTGGTCAGCTTCACGCTCTGGTCGCTTTAACTGCTTTTAAAGAACACACGGTACCCAGTGACGGTCTGAACGCTGTGCAGTAGAGACATTAGCTTTCTAGTGCAGGAAATCTAACTCCGTAGCACGTCACTATACAGACTCAGCTATGCCCGCTCTTTAAATACTGAAATATATGTAAGTTGATTTATTTACATCTATCAAAACTTCCAAAACATTTATCAATCGGGACACCATTGCGTCTGTGCTGCCTCTTTTTGGGTCCTCAACTGCCGCTTGCCTTGTTATTTGGGTTTTACAGGACTGTAATAACTCAGTGCTCGCCTATCGCAATAGGCGAGGTTCCTGAAGAGAAAATCAGGCACTCTTAAACTTAAAGGGCACATTAAAACAGTCTGAATCGCTGTTTCCTTATTTCGTTTCTGGATAAATCCACGAAAGAGAGTCCTTGTTCAGAAGCTAAGAGTAGCTCAGCTAGTCAAGAAATGTCATCCTCTTTATGTAATTCTAACGGCCAATGCCGTGTTCACAGCCAGTTGAATCCAGTCCACACCCTGCAACCCTATTTCTTTGAAACTCATATCAGCATTATCCACCCACATATCCCTAGGCACCACGAGCTTTAGATCTTTGTTCTGTTGGCACCTCCCTCTTATCCCTATCTGTCTGTCTGTCTATCTATCTATCTATCTATGGCTCTACAGCCCTTTGTTGGACCTTGGCCGCTTTTTCAATTTCTTAATATTTTTACACAGCCGGTAGTACTCCTTGGATGGGGGATCAGCCCGTCGCAAGGCCGCTACCTCAACACAGGACAGCAAATATACATGCCTCAAGTGGGACTTCAACCCACGATCCCAGTGTATGAGCGGGAGAAGACAGTTCAGGCCTTAAGACCTCTCGGCCACTCTGATCACCGCCCGTTTGTCCCTGATTGCTACGTATCCTAACCATTATTTGTGTGGATGATTGTGTTTCAGAGGGTGAGAGGCTTGCGAAACCCATGACGTAACGCGAAAATTTACGAGCAGGTGAACCCAATGTTTCTTGTCATAAACCACAACGCCCATCCGGATACGCATTGGGAGTGGCGTTGAAGATCTTGGCATTCTCAGCCTCGGCACCGGAGAGAGATGATCTGTTAGGGCCCCCATACACATACAGTTTGGCCTCCAGTTCGGCCTGCACAGTTGAAGACTGAAAGACAAAACTGACGTGTGTGGTGCGGCCCGCTGGCCAATCGTTTGGACTATTGGCCTGTGGGAAACCCGTCAGTCCGTCAGTTCTGCCTGCAGGACCGTAGCACGTGACGTGTGTGACTCAACATTATAGGCTGGAAGACCGTGATTGTGGCATGAAGCCTGCCGCTTTATCTGCGCGTGTATGGGGAGGAAAGGGAAGGGGTAAACTGTCACAGTTTTGCCTGTAAGGTCGATCGGAAGGCCAAACTGTGTGTGCATGGGGGGCCTTAAGCAACGCCGACAGCGCTGCATTATCCCATGAGAGAGTTAAACCCCTTCAGAGAACCGAAGCCAACTATGCCGAACACAGGACAGTCCTTGTAACGACTGAGTCATTCCGCTTGATTACGTGAATCTTCGACTGAGAGGCGGCCTAACTGACGTTGCTTTCAGCTGTCAGAGAACACAAATAAAAGCAGCGGCTCCGGAAATTAGTACAAAAGGCGCTCGTTCGAGCTCGTAGACCTGCTCAGGACAAACCTTACGACTTATAAGAGCACGCGAAGTATGTTATCGCGCAGTTCCTGTAACCTTGAAGTTTAAACTCCACTTGTTATTAATTCCGGACGATAAGCTTAGTATGAAGTCAACTGATTGTGTAGAAGCTTTCGTTGCATAATGTTCACGCGAGGAGCACGTGCCACAAACAGAGAAATAGAAATCAAGGGGAAGTATTCAGATACTGCTTGATATGTGGATATCAGGCTGTGCTGTTGGTCATGGTAATGTTTGCAAATGGCGTTATCAGAACTACCGGAGGAGAAAGAAAAGGAAAGTAAAGAATGAAAAATTGTAGTAGAAAAGGAAAACAAAAGAAAGAAGCAAAGAAATTGAAAGGGAAGAAAGGAAATTAAGATATAATGAATGAACGAAAGAGGAGGAAAAAGGAAAAATATAGGAATTAAATAAATAAAGAAGGGAAGAAAGGGAGTATAAAGACAGAAAGGGGAAAGAAATAAGCCAAATAAAAACAACAAACGTAAATAAAGAGACAAGCTGCGAATATATAGAAGGGAGAAAGAAAGAAAAAAGAAAGAAAGAAAGAGCAGGAAAAATTGAACAAAAGAAAGTAAGCATAAAAACACGGAAAGGGGAAAGAAGGAAAGACAAGATAAAGTAATACA